ATTGCTGGCACTGGCATCAAAGTGGTAACAGTGGCATGGATTGAGGTCCCCCTATTGCCCTGCCAGACTGGAAAAAACAGGACTTGCGTAACAAACTACATTTTTATTGATACTGATGAGATTTCTGCAAGGGCACAGCTGTGTCAGTGACCTTTAAAGTGTTATATTAATGATGAGTACTATTTATGTAATCTTATCCTGTGTGTTTCAAAAAAAAAAAAAATTATTTTTCTTCTTCCTTAATTGTGAACTATAAAACAGAAATGTTGGCAGGGTTTGCTGTGTTACTGTGAAACTTTCTTTGTCTTTTCCTGTAGGAGAGAAGTATATGGTATTCTGAAATCTGAAGGCATTTTACTTCCTCGCTATGCAGTTTTGAATCGTGATCCAAACAATCCCCAAGGTAAAAACTGGTAACTAAAACATCAACCATTGGCATCTCTTTGTTTGTGCTGGAGAACAGTAGTTACGTAGGGGAAAGCTAAATGACACTTGCTGGAGAATTAATTCATTTGTGCAGTGTTTGATTTCCCCTGCAGTTATTTAAAGTATTATTGTGAATTAGCTCCCACTGACTGTCAGGACAATATGTGAAACAGAAAAGGCATTGAAGCACAGTTCATCAATAACAAAAACATCAAGGCTGTTTTGGTCATAAACTCAAAACATACTACCATACCAGCTGCTGTGATGACAATTAACTCCATCCCTGCCAAAGGCAGTACAAGCATGCATCTGAAAGCATGAATCTGAAGCCTGGGGTCATAATCCTCCTACAGCCATCATAGAACAAGTAGAACATAAGGGCCTCCAAAACTCCCAACAGAGGCTCTAGTATGTCACCAAAGACAGCAGCATTCGTGTTGTTATGTTACACACAATAATTAACTAATTTTACTTAGGAAAGTAATATTGACTGAAACAAATCAGGCTAGTGAATACTTTCCTTTCTAACTATAAGCACCTTTATAAGGGAAATCTAGTGACAGATGTGCAGATGATATACTCTGAATATAAATTGGTATTCATTTTTTCTGTACCTGAAAACAAACTTAGCAGCTCAAGAGTAAGAGATAAGAAAAAAAAAAAGAAACTTGAACTATTATTTGGTATAGCTCTTAAGAGGTAGGGAGTGATAGGTTAAACTGTCTGCATAATCTAGGGGGTAAAGGACTCATTTATGCTACAAAAGTGAAATAAAAGTTGCTGCATGCAGCTGACCAGCGATGAGGAATCTCTTCACTACTGATTCTAGAGGACTTAGCCTTATGTGTGTGGTGCATCAATGTGAGACAGTTCTCAGCCTACTAAAACTACTGCTGCAGCCAGGAGCACACTGTGTTCATTTTCCATCTGCCATTCCCTGATACTGCATAGAAAGGCACTGAAGCAAGAGACAAATAGCCCTATACCTGCCTTCAAAACATTTCCAAAAACATGCCACCAATGCAAGCTTATGCATCTGTAGGAGACAATTGCCTGTTTGGCACTGAGGGAATCAACAGAAATCCTGGAACATCGTGTTAGAGTAACATAATACAGATGTTGTACAGGAGACATGTTCATCAGGTTATTGTGCAGTTGGTAATAAATCAGCAAACCAAAAATGTAATATCATCTTTTTATTTCAACCGACATAATTACCCCAAATCTTTAATCATTTAAGTCCATTAATATGTCATTACATCTCTGTTGTTTGCATTGTTTCTTCAGAATGCAACTTGATTGAAGGGGAAGATCATGTGGAAGTGAATGGAGAAGTTTTCCAAAAGCCTTTTGTAGAAAAGCCAGTTAGTGCAGAGGACCACAATGTTTACATTTATTATCCAACATCTGCTGGGGGTGGAAGCCAAAGGCTCTTCCTCTTCCGAAAGGTGAGAGTATTGTACTAAAGCTATAGAAAAGTTGTAGATGACTGAAAGAATTGCAGAATAATTCTGTCCTATCCGTATGTTAGCTGGCAGCTGTTTTGCCATGCTCTGCTTGTGTAGGACTAGTGGCAGATCAGAGAAGCTGATTTCAGGAGAACATGCATGTTGAATGAAGACCCTTTTTCCTTGAGTGGATTGTCAGCCACTGGAAATTCTTAGAGATTAAAGAAGCACACAGTCTCAGTGCACTTTTAGAATCTTCTAAAAATCCTTTGGGAATGATGAAAATCTGCTTGCTTCATTTGATACGGGATGTGTTTTCTCAGTACAGGTGTGTGATTTTAAGGAGTTCTAAAATTTCTCAAACAGTAGCATCTGAGTTCACTAACAGAAAAATATTCATTTCAGATTGGCAGCAGAAGCAGTGTTTATTCACCTGAAAGCAGTGTGAGAAAGACTGGCTCCTATATTTATGAGGAATTCATGCCTACAGATGGCACTGATGTGAAGGTATAACAACTGTGCATTCTTATTCATATTTAGAACAATCAAGTGCTCCAAAAGCTTATCAGTTTTAAAGATGAAAGTATGTATTTGTGTCAAGGATCAATTTTCATGGAGTTTTCATACAGTTGATGAGTTTCCAGAAAGAAAAGTGTCTTGTGACCTGAAGAGATGCAGATGACTTGAGGGGTGGGGACTATTTTGATTACTTATAGTGTAGTAATCGAGCAGCAGCTGTAGACTTTTAACACCCTAAATAAGTAATGGATTTTCTCCATGTAACAATAACATCAGTTTTATATTAGGCAGCTTCACTCGGTGCAGCCTGCTGACTAAATTGCATTTGCAGTCATCTGGTTTAGTTGAATACTTTTTAAATCAAAGCTTGGAGTTTTATTTTTAATTAAAGTGACAGTAGCTCTTTGAGAGCTGCAGACAAGTCTCTTAGAGCATATGCCCCAGTCCTTTCAGTGAGCATTGAAACTGCAGCAGAGTAGATAGCACAGTTACTCTCAAGCCTCTGCCTCATCATGCTAAAACTGGACAGGTCTTTGCTTTGTTTAGTCCTGCCTAAAACCGTTTTTAATGAAGAGGATCACTTAGTCCTGCAGCCAGATTTCCATAATCAAGTAAACTGAAATAACTCTCAAATTAACCTGCTCTCCAAGTTCTTCAGTTGTTTTGGAGAGGAAAATATTCTTTACCTCTGTACCACCATAAGTAAGAAATTCCTTTTTATTCATAATGTTTTATAATTACTATTTTTCTTTATCTGTGCTTCAGCTGTTTTCTCCTCCTGCTTTATGCTAGTTTTTCAATAAATGGTGAGTGTTCTTTGAAGGCAAGTGCTTTAGATACTTCAAGGAAAGTACGTCAGAGGAACCTTTTAAATTATAAAAGCTGCTAGTGGCTTTTAAAGTCGTTACCACATTTCAGGCAGATTTAGCAAAAGGTATGTGTATATTTATGTGTGTGTGTGTTGTAATTTAATTACAGGGAGTAATCAAGTGTACTGTTTTTCAATAAAGGTGTACACAGTAGGTCCAGACTACGCTCATGCTGAAGCTCGGAAGTCTCCAGCTCTGGATGGTAAGGTAGAACGAGATAGTGAAGGAAAAGAAGTGAGGTATCCAGTCATCCTGAATGCAAGAGAGAAGTTAATTGCTTGGAAAGTATGCCTTGCCTTTAAAGTAAGCTGATTACTTTCCTATCTGATCAAACATTTAGTGTTAATTAATTGTTTATTACATGAAATGTCTGTACGATTTTAGTGCACAGAGCCATCAGTGGTAATGTGTGCAGAACTCCTACAAAGCTGAAACATTAAACTTCTACATTGCATCTTTTTTTTAATCTAGAAGAATTCTTCCTTTATTGCATTGAACAGCTCTAGGATGGGTTGCTTATGTTGTATAAGTTTCCTGAATTCACATGTTGCTATTGTTCTTTGCTCATCCACAGTGTAACCGTTCCATGCATAATATGTTCACGCTTTTTGTAATAGTTTCTAAGCTGGCAAAATGCAACTTCAGTGAAGTTTTGGGTGCCTTTGTTACATAGTATTTACATCCGGAACGATATATGTTAATTTGGTACTGGCATGACTAGGTCCTTACTTGAAATGTTTGATAGTTTCCATTTTTATGTAGTTCTAAGAATCACTTGTTCAAAACTTGTATCTCTTGCCCTCCTTTCACCTGTTGTATTAACAGGCTGTCTCTTTTCTTTTTACCTGTGTGTAATTATGATGGCATTCTGGAGCCTGGAGGGTGTGAAGCTATCACCTAGCGAAGTGGGCTCTGGGATCTAAACCAGTAATCTGTTGAAATAGCATCTAGTATCTCGTACTGCTCATGTCGATACTGTAACAATGTCAAAACTATCCTGTCAAATTTAGATTTGGGCAAAAATGGTTTTATTTGATTTTGCCATTTCTTGCCTACTACCCTTAAGAACTGTCTGTGTGGGGAATGCACTGTCAGAATGGGGAATTTGTGGGCCCATTATTGCTTATGCTCTAAGTCTTGAAGTGGAGTTTGTGCACATGCGAACTTGACCTTCAATACTGATACTGCTAGGGATATGCAGGAAGGGTAAACTTAAGGTGAGAATATAAACTTAGAATTAGGAAGATGTTTGGATGACATGAGCAAACCTGACATGGAACTGGCAAAAGATACTAAGTATGAAATCTGTTATTTTTGTCATGTTTTCACATGGATGCCATGTTAAAATGTAGTTTATTTACAATAACATTCTAAGGAAGGTGATCAATGACTTGAACTTTCATTCTTAAAAACAGCAAACAGTTTGTGGCTTTGATTTGCTGCGTGCTAATGGACAGTCCTATGTCTGTGATGTGAATGGCTTCAGTTTTGTGAAAAACTCCATGAAATACTATGATGATTGTGCTAAGATCCTGGGGTAAGAGTTTACTGATTTATTTCAGGAGTTTTGCCTATTCACTCTATTGTATGTGACTATAGTTTATGTACTATTTATTCCATATGTCATAATAACTAAATATAAAATATTAAAAAGAATTCTAAATCAGTAGGTAAATCTCAAATTCCTTATTCCTAAAATCACCTAGAACATCAGAGTGTTTTGTGAACACTTAAAGCTAACTGAATAAGTATTTTGAAAGCCAGAGTAAGTTCTTAAAGGTAGTTGAGATTTTTTTTCAAGTAGAGAAGCACTACTGGGTGGTTGTGCTGGCTGCTGTTTAATATGTGCTCAACTTAATGTATGTTGTCCTTGATCTGAAGCTGATGTATATTTGTGGATTTCATACTGGTAAATCCAAACTGATTCAGTGTCAAGATGTTTTCTGTCATACCATCTTCTCTCTGCTACTGGCAGCAAAAACAGGTATAACTAGGGATCATACAGAATTGGGTAGTGAATTCTTACACCACTGAAATGGTGCCCTCAGCGTCAGCTTATTCCATTTTGGGCAGTTATTAACTGGCTTTACAGCAAGATTGCACTAATGAGATACAGTATGGCTTTCTGCCTTATCAAGTAGTCCTGATAATAAAAAAAGATATATTATTAAACAGAGGAAGAGCTAAGCTGAAATCCTAGGTAACAACTGTAGTCTTGGGTACTTAGGCCACTTCTTGAGTGAGAGTTAAAGTTCTCAGACACGTTCTGATTTCCCTTTATGCAAACTGTTGTAGCTTTTGAATTCTCTGAAAAAAGTTATTTTATAATTTTTTTCCTTATGTATTATTCATTAATGTAATACATTTCAGTATTAAGTAACAACAGATTTTTTTCTAGCTCTTTAGAAATTAAATTCTGGCTTATGCTACTTTAAGATGCACGTTAGGTTTTTTTCCCCATTGTGTTACTACTTCTCGTGTAGGTGTTAATTTAAAGTTCAGTGTATTTTGATGAAATACTTTTTAAATCTTGCTAATGTTCTGTTTCCCAACTTTCTCTAGGTGTAGGGAGTGCTATTATTTTGTTATTTTGATCAGAGACTTAAGTTATTTCTCCAGTTCTATCACAGCAACTTTTGAGGAACTACCACCAAAGATACTAGTTACTCTTTGACAAGAATGGCTTGCTGATTATTTCAGCTAGGCCATGGAGTCATGTGTCTGAACGTTTAAATGAACAAGATGAAATCCTATGCAAGGAACTCCTTTAGCAACTGGAATTCCTAAAGAGGGAATGGCCTCAAGCTGCTCCAGGGGAGGTTTAGACTGGACATTAGGAAGAACTTTTCACTGAAAGGGTTATCAGGTATTGGAACGTGCTGCCTAGGGAGGTGGTTTGAGTCCCTGTCCCTGGGTGTGAGTCACCATCCCAGCCCTGCAGATGTGGTGCCTGGGGTATGGCTTAGAGGTGGACTTAGTAGAGTTGGGTTAGTGGTTGGACTCTAGGATCTTGAAAGTCTTTTCCAAGCCAAGTGATTCTGTGATTGAAAAACTGAGGTTTCTTACAGATCCAGGGCCATTACTCTATTGTTAACTTTGTAGAAGTTGTAGCAGCTTTAAATTGTTGTTTAAGTAGGTATTTATTGTACAATTAAAAGAAAAATATGTACCTAGAGACTAAAGACCATTAGTAATCTGAAACCACATTGATAAAAATGCATGTATATATTATCTATTTGGCTTGGAGTTTGTATGTGTTGTATAAGCTGTGCTTTAAGCTTCATGTTTTTTTTTTTCTGTTTGTTTGTTTTTTAACCCCCTTTTTAGAAATATCATAATGAGAGAACTTGCTCCCCAGTTTCAGATACCATGGTCGATTCCTTTGGAAGCTGAAGACATCCCTATTGTGCCAACTACTTCTGGAACAATGTAAGAAAATAGTAGCTACACCTGCATTGTACAAAATCCTGATGTAACTTTTGTGTGAATTTTTTTTTCTCTTCACAAGGTATGCCCACTTTGACCTATGAACGCTTGTTTTGTGTGGTGAAAACAAGGAAGGAATCACAATTGCTATGCCAGCAATCAGAGTTTCTGACCCTTAGTCAAGCTGAGTATAGAACAGCGGATTCTCAAGTGTAGCGTCTCTTATGCATAGCTTCCTTCACTGCTAATCATTGTTCCAGCACCAACTTAATATGCGCTTCTAATAAACATGCTTTCTCATTTAATGAACCTCAAAATTGTTGTTTTAAAAACTACTTAAAATAGCTGTTCTGTAGTTATCAAAGGCTTAAAATCAATGTTCATGTATTATATCTTTAAATCATTTTAAGTTAACCTTGTATTCTTGCATCTCCTCCCATCACTTCTGTAGTTATGTCAGATAACTACAACTTTGTCAATTGTCTTAATTCATGATGGTTTTGCTATTAAATAAAAGATCCTGAGATACAGAATTGTGAAATACAACTCTCTTGAAATTTCAGGATGGAGCTTAGATGTGTTATAGCTGTAATACGCCATGGGGACCGAACACCAAAACAAAAAATGAAAATGGAAGTAAAACATCAGAAGTAAGCAGAATCTTGGTTAAAATTGTTTTGGATGCTTTAGAGCAGAGCTGACTTCTTGGGGATGTGCAAGCAATGAATTGAGCAGGAATTGCATCATACAAGTTGTTTTTTGCTTTATCTTTTAAATCTTAACTGATTTTGCAGTTAAAGTATTAATTAAGTTAATTAGCTAATTAACTAATTAATCAACTTACACTTAACAAGTATGCACCACTCTTGCTAACAGGACTATCAAATTACTTCCACTGACTTCCTTCATCATATGCTTGTGGAGGAGTGGCTGGAAAGCTGCCTGGTGGAAAAGGACCTGGGGGTGTTGGTGGATAGCTGACTGAACATGAGCCAGCAGTGTGCCCAGGTGGCCAAGAAGGCCAATGGCATCCTGGCCTGGCTCAGAAACAGTGTGACCTGCAGGAGTAGGGAGGTGATCATGCCCCTGGACTCGGCACTGGTGAGACCACACCTTGAGTCCTGTGTCCAGTTTTGGGAACCACAGGATAAGAAGGACATGGAAGTGCTGGAGCAGGTCCAGAGAAGGGCAGCGAGGCTGGTGAGAGGGCTGGAAAAAATGTCTTGTGAGGAGTGGCTGAGGGAACTGGGGTTGTTTAGTGGGGAGGAGACTGAGGGGAGACCTTGTTGCTCTACGACTACCTAAAAGGAGGTTGCAGTGAGGCTGATGTTGATCTCTTCTCTCAATTCTATCATTCATTACTGATGATAGGACGAGAGGAAATGGCCTCAAGTTGTGCCAGGGGAGGTTTCAATTAGATATTAGGAAGAATTTCTTTACTGGGGAAGTGGTGAGGCACTGGACTGGGCTGCCCAGGGTGGTGGTGGAGTCATCATCCCTGTTGAAAAAATGAGTAGCTGTAGCAGTTGAGGCTATGGTCTAGTGGTTAGGGAAATGTTGGGTTGAAGGTTGGACTTAAAGGTCCTAGAGGTCCTTTCCAGCCGTCATGTTTCTATGCTTCTGTGCTGTGCCTTGTGAACAGTCCTGCTTGACCTTAGCGAAAATGAATTTGTCTCTGTAGATATCTTTATTCAAAATGATGCAGCAAAGATTATTTCTGGTTCACCATTTATTTGACTGTGACTCCTGTCTTTCCTTCTCTATCACAACTGTTCTTGTGTGCGCTGTCATCTTACTGCACCACCTTTTTGTATTTTACTTTTGCCAAAGTTTCATGACTTTGGATTTCTTGTATATTGCTTTTTACGGCAGAATTCATAAAGTGCTGTACATAATTGACTTAGGGTTAGCTACAGTTTCAGTAAAAAGCAATTATTTGGTTTGGGACTGGTTTCTTGCATGCAGACATACATGCTGTAAAACAGTAGGACTGACTGGTCTTTTGGTATTTTTGGTGCCTACTTCTGTTCACGCTTATGCTTGAAGATGAAGAATACATGAGTGTTATGTCATTTTATATATAGACTATTTTCTGGGTTTTATTTTTAACACTGAAGGAGTGAATAATGGAATATTTTTAGTGCTCTTATTTCTTTAATGTATTGAGGATTTCCTTGAGAAATGGGATTTGCATGAAGGTTGCTTTGACATCTTTAGTATGGATTTGAACATGCTTTTCAAATAGTTTAAAGGTGCTAATTTTAGACTGCCTTAAGTTTAACAGCCACTTGTTCAAGTAGTATTTTGATTTATTAACTGCAGTTTTTAATTAATATTCTTTCTCTTAAAGATTCTTTGATCTCTTTGAAAAATGTGAAGGATATAAATCTGGAAAACTGAAACTAAAAAAACCAAAACAGTTGCAGGCAAGTTTGTCTTTATTTTCTTGCTATGCTATTTTATAAGTAGAACATTATTGATTTAAGTAAATCCTATGCTTCCTTTCTTTAGGAAGTGCTTGATATAGCAAGGCAACTCCTTGTAGAGCTTGGGCAAAACAATGATTCTGAAATTGAAGAAAGTAAAGCAAAACTTGAACAGCTAAAGACTGTGTTAGAAATGTAAGTGTCTAATTTTCAAGCCTCATAGCAATGAAGTTGTATTTGCTATTTTGACCTGTTTGACCACATACTACTTGGATTGCAATGGTTATCAAATATGTAATGATATATTAATTCAAGCACAAGGGTTATCAAGAGAAAAGATGTCGTGTTGGACACTATGAAGGAGAACTGGACCATATCTCTGTTTTATGTCTGTATCTTTTTAATTGAACTCCTGCTTTATCCAGTGTCTCAGTATACTTCCAGTGTGAAAAGTTACTTTCTTTGTTCTCAAATTTTATGTTCTTGAATGTTTTTAAAATTAAAGTACCTGAGTGCAGTCTGCTCTTGCAGTGACGTAATGAAGTTTAATGGAACCAGTGGGAACTTTTACTGTCTGTACTGTCTACTTACACAAACTTTGAGGATTCCAAATAAGGCTTTGTATATTAAGCCTGAAATATTTAATTAAAAACAAACAAACCTTAAGGCTTCAAGGTTTGTTAAAGATATGGCATCTCAGAACTCTGAATAGTAGTAGGTAGCTTTGATTTTTTAAAAATTAGATCATAGACAATTATTGAAATTTATTACAATTGTTTGAAAAACTATGTTCTGCTTGAGAGCTTATTTGGCCAACAAAATAGAAGCTGTGTTCACTACCTGATCAGATTCTGGATACTGATAGTCACTGTAGTTGTGAATCTCAATAGATAACTTACTCGTGCTTTCTGTAAGTGCCTTTTTTTTTTTTTTTTTTTTTCAGTTTTATGTTCAATGTTGTGACAAAACATAGTAGGTAGTATTTTTAGAAGTTTCATTATAGAATGGTTGGTATTTCTGTAGTCGGTTCTGTGCTTGTTGAGTTAGGTTTGTCCTAAACACTTCTTCAATAACTGGTAGTCAAATGTGCAAATCAATGAGCAGCATAGGTTTATTGTGTCCTGTTAAAGGATCATAACAGGTTTGGAGGAAAATACTTAAAATGGGGTGCGCTGTCTTTTCCCCCCTCACTTTCTCATTTTTCATACCTCAGGTATGGGCGGTTTTCAGGCATAAATCGCAAAGTGCAGTTAACATATCTTCCTCATGGCTGCCCAAAGACTTCCAGTGAAGAGGAAGGTATTGTGTTACTTTTGTACCTAGTCACTTAATATCGTGTGTTTAAATAGTCATGAACTAGCAGTATAACATGTCTGGATGTTAAGAAGGAATACATTGCTTTGAATTAATGTTTGTATTGTTGGCAGATATTCAGTGTCTCTTAATCTGCTGACTGGTACACCTATATAGTAAATGTGTACTCTAACACTGTTTACTTGTAGCAGAAAGGTAAGCTGAAAAGAAACTTCAGTGATTCACCAAAGGTGGTGTTTTGAGGCCAGAATGAGAAAATCCCATTGAACATTTATTGCTGTCTTTAAAACTTTTATAAGCTTTTCTGGTCCTTGACCCATGGCTGTTGACTGAAATAACTGTAGAGTATTTAGCATATAATTTGTTTTAATTTTTCTGTCTCAGTTGACTTTTTGCTTCAGATTTAATGCTAAATATTTTTCTGTTACTCTTTTCCTGTGATTTAATTGCTTCAAGTTTCTCTGTTTTAAGGCCCATTTAGTTCTCCAGTTAAATGTTTTTTAATGTTAGAATGGTCTTAAAGAATCATAGTGTTGAAGAGATCCTTTACTGAAGGGACTACATAGTCCAAATACTTCTGTTCATCTGCAAAAAAAAAAAAAGGATATAAAACATAATTCACTACTAAACTCCTCTCTCTGTGTACAATTAGATAATAGAAGAAATGAGCCATCCCTGCTTCTGGTTCTAAAATGGGGAGGAGAATTGACCCCTGCAGGCAGGGTTCAAGCAGAGGAGCTTGGAAGAGCTTTCAGGTGTATGTATCCAGGTGGACAAGGTAAAAAAAAAAAATAATATTTTTTAAAAATTTGTTGAATGGCATAAATCCCTTTTGAAGTACAAAAAGAGAGTTTGAGCAAAATGTTTTTTGGTAGGAGATTATGCTGGATTTCCTGGATGTGGTTTACTTAGATTACATAGCACTTACCGACACGATCTCAAAATCTACGCTTCCGATGAGGGACGAGTTCAGATGACTGCAGCAGCTTTTGCAAAGGTACAATGTGAAACTGTATTTTCAATTTTAAAAATTCTGGTATTCTCAGGTTTGAGTATTTTAAAGACTGGGGAGATATATGGTTTACTAGAGTCCACAGTGTATACCAAGCCTGTGTCTTAAAAGAACTGTGCTTTCAAAGAGTATTTAGTTCAGTGTGAAGAAGTATCCAGTTAATGTGCCAAGCATTTGGAATTCTTGAGCAGCTGTGGGCAGGTTTTAATTACACAGCAATATACCATAGTCCTTTCCAGTAGCAACTTCCAAAAGCATAGAATCATTGAATATTTGGGGTTGGAAGGGACCTTAAACATCATCTAATTCCAAGGTGTCATGGGCAGGGGCACCTTCCACTAGACCAGGTTGCTCCATGCCCCATCCAACACTTGGATCACTTCCAGGCCTTGGAACTTCTTGGAACACTTCTGGATTGGATGGGAGGCATCCATAACTTCTCTGGACAGCTTGTTTCAGTCTCTCATCACCGTCTTGTAACAATTTTTTTTTTCCATCCATCTAGTCTGAATCTACCCTATTTTATTTTAAAACCAGTACACCTTGTCCTATTGCAGGAAGCCCTGCCAAAAAGTCTGTCCCCATCTCTTTTGTAAGCCCCTTTCAAGTATTGAAAGGCCACAATAAGGTCTTCCCAGAGCCTTCTCTTCTCCAGGCTAAGCGACCCCAGCTCTCTCAGCCTGTCCTCGTAGGAGAGGTGCTCCAGCCTCTCTGTGGCCTTCGTCTGGCCCGCTCCAGCAGGTCCCTGTCGTTCTTACATAGGGGGCCCTGGAGCTGGACACAGGACTCCAGGTGGGGTCTCTTCAGAGCAGAGCAGGGACAGAATTGCCTCGCATGACCTGCTTGGCATGCTTCTTTTGATGCAGCCTAGGATGCAGTTGGCAACATTTTCAGTTTCCACCTTGCTTATTCATTTAGGGCTTACTGTCCTCAAATTTTGTCAGCTTTCTGTGACAGATAGGGTGTGTGTGTATTGGCTAGAACACAATCAGAATTGATTTGAGATGATGTACTCATTTTACATGAGCAAAAATCACATTTTTCATGCACTTAGGACCAGGTGATTTGAAGTTCAAAAAGCAACACTTTTCATTGAAGCCACGTTTTGGTTATTGATTTCTAACTGTAGAGAGCAAGTCAGGGGTTTTGAAGGTATTAGAAATGTGGAATTAATGTGCTACTTTGCACATATTTCAATACAAAATTGTAGAGACTATACATTCATGCGTTTTTGGAAATTAATAGAAGTACGTTAAAGTTTTTACAAGAGACTGATGTTTAAAACCCGTGAACTTATTTTTTTTTTTTTGTTACAGATACATATTTATAGGAAATGTTAATATAAAACACATCATTCAGAGCTTCCTATGTCTGTAAAGCTTGCCAAAGAGTTCTTTTACCCCTCTGCATGCTAGGCATATTTCTCTTTTTCTCCTCCTCCCCAGAATCCCTTTGCATGCATACTGTTTGTGCTTGTTAATATTTTATTCAGTTATCTCCTCACTTCAATCATACAGATCCTTTAATTGTGTGAGAGGATGCAAACAGTGCAAGTGTTACATAAATACTTCTTAGGTGAGTGAGTTTTAGTAACAATACGGAGTGATAAGAGAGGTTCAGGTTTCAAGGGACCTGCAATCAGGAGGCTTCATCCAGTTATGTTAAGAAAGCTTCATCTATTTCCCTTTTTAAATAGGGTGATCTGCAGTGGGGGCTCACCATAATGTTTCCCTGTGCTTATTTGCCCTCTCATCCCTACAAATAAGATCTCAGCCTGTCACTGGTGAAGGTCCCAGTGTTTAAGCTGCTCCTTTATCTACAGCCTAACTCTTCCTCTGCCTTCTTGGCTTCTAAAAGGCCCTGTATCTAGCAATAGCAAAACTCAATCCCCCACATCTTTGTAATCTGAATGTACTTAAAGCTCTGCAAATGTTCAGAATTCTTATTTCTCCCATTTGTTTCCATGCTGCATGTGTTGGTGCAGAAGTGTTTCAACCATCTGTCTTTTCTTCTTGTTAGCAGACTTGATGAGGCAAAATCCTATTTCCTTCCTTAACCCAGAGCACTTCTGTTGGTAGAAAAGAAACAGAAATTTCCAGTTGTCTCAATTTTTGGAAATGTCCATTCACCTTTTGTAGCCTTTGATTTGTCCTGTACCACACAGGGTTTGGGCTTTTGCCTCTGCAGGGTCTCTGCAAAGACACTGTGTCTTTCCTGTTTGTCCTCCCAGATGCTATTTGTTTTGCTGAACTCTTGCCATCACTACCGTCTGGTGACTCTGTGCCTTGAGCAGAGCATGTCCCCCACAAGTGAAGCTGCTTTTTTCCCAGCTTCTGGGAGAAGGCACTGTACAGTCCCTGCAACCCAAGACCTGAACAACTACCCCAAGAGCAATTTTGGCACCACTGAGATGCTACTATTTGAGCTGATGCTGGGGAGTATGGTCTATGATATGTCACCATTACTGTTGCACCCACTGTATAGCAATCCTGCACACCAAAAGCAGTGTTTCACAGGGGCCATTTCTGTGCAAATATCTGCAGTATTGGCCAGGTCCTTGTTTATCTCGCCCATAGGCAAGTGATACAATATTGAGTTTAAATTTTGGTTGGTTTTCTTAAGATAACCTTATATTCTCATTGTTGTCTGTTTGCCTCATTGATTTTATTATTTGCTTCAGGGACTACTGGCCTTAGAGGGAGAGCTGACTCCTATTCTTGTCCAGATGGTAAAAAGTGCTAATATGAATGGTCTGCTGGACAGTGACAGCGATTCCTTAAGCAGCTGTCAGCATCGTGTAAAAGCGAGACTCCATGAAATTCTACAGAGAGACAGAGAATTTACTGCTGATGACTATGATAAGGTTAGCATTATGATTAGCTTCCTATGAAATTGAATATATAGCCATGCAAATTCTTGTGTAAAAGTAATGAGCAGGGATTTTATATATCTGTTTTGAAAAATTGTGTTCTTGCATATAGCTTGAACTAGAAAGGAAGCTGTACTAGTTATGTTACTAGATCTTTTGAGCTGTCTTGCAATTTGAATAATCATAATAGCTACAAACTTTTAAACAGTAGATAGGAACCTCATTCATAAATATTTTTCATACCATTAACAATATATTAATTGTTGAAGAAATGAAACTATTATACTGTTCACACTTTCTCTAGTTCTTACTTTGATGATGTGTGCTATTACAAAATATATTGCATACCTGCTGCAGTTATTTCAATATTTAATCTACTACAAGGCCTTCTTTTTAACCTCTTAAGAGTATTATGATACTGAAAACTGGTAGAATACTTTCTAACCAGCGAAAGAAAATTTCTCATTAACATACTGCATTAGTGCTTTATATATTAATAGAGTTTGTGCCAACTTAGCATAGAACACACATGATTGTTCCTAGTTTTAAATGTAAGTAATGTTGGTTATTTTTAAGAAACTTTTCTCTTTCAATTGCCCTAATTCTGATATAACAACTGAATACAAGTCCGTTATTGAAAACCAGTTTTCCTACTGTGCACGTGTACTCTATGTGGATTCATTTAAACATACAGATTAAAAGTATTATTCCAACCACAGCCAGCAGTGGATTCAGCAGCACTTGAAAAAGGTGGGAGACTATCAGGTGTAAAGGATTGTGGTGGGTTAACACTGGCTGAGCAAGAGGTGCCTAGCAAGTCACTCTATCACCCTCCCCCTTTCCTCTCCCTCTGGCACAGACCAGAATGGGAAATGAAAATAAGAAGAGGGCAAAACCCCTTGTAGGTAAAAACGAAGGCAGTTTAACTGGAAAGCAAAGGCAAGTAATGCCACGTGTGGAAATTAAGAGGAAAAAAAATTTATTCTCTACTTCCCATCAGCAGGCAATGTGTGGCCCCTACCTGGGAGGCAGGGCTCCAAAACGTGTAGTGGTTGCTCCAGAGGATCAAGGAGTACCCACCCACCCCCTCCTTTGTACCAGCTTTGTAGTTGAGCAGACATCATCTGGTTCGGAATATCCCTTTGGTCAGTTTGGGTCAGCTGTCCTGGTTGTGTCCCATCCCAAGCTCCTGCCCCCCCATCCCACTGTGGGGGAATGTTCAGAAGAGCCTTGGTGCTGAGCCAGCACTGCTCAGTGGTGCTCACAGCATGGGTGTTGTCAACTCCCTTCTGACTCCCAGCACCACAGCTCTGCACCAGGAGGGCTGCATCGGGAAAATCAGCTCAGCCAGACCCGATACAAGGATTTATTTCCCCCTTCTTCTTGCTGTATAGATATAAGGGGATTTGAAATGTGGCTGGAACTAATAGTGCATACACTTCTAAGACAGTATTGAAAATCACTATCCTTTGGGATTATAAAGCGATAATAACTTTGTTTGGTGGTTTTTTTTATTAATTTTTTTTTATTAACTCACTTGCTGTTTGAGAAAACAATATGGTTTGGTTCTTTTCTGTGCCAAAGCACCTTTCCTGTTGATTTACTTGGTCATAAAAGGGAGGGAGGAACTGCTTACTATTAAGTAGAAGACAAAAGTTTTCCATATCCGAATTATCATCTGAGGAAACTGGGGAAAGTACCAATATGTATGGATGTTGTGTATTATTGTTTAATACAGTTTCTTACTTTTGGTTATGGAGACTTTTTTTAAGAAACGAAACTAAGCCTTACTTACATGGATATTGACTCTATTGTTTCAGTAATACTTGATGGTAGTCAGTTGTAGCTTCTGCAGGTTCTGTAATTGAGTCAGCTCTGAAAGATGTCTGGTATGTTCCTGATATATGTGCATTTAGAGGGTTTCTTTTGTTTGTGTTTGTGTGCTGCAGTCCTGTAGAAATAAAAAACTAAACCAGGAAGAGAGAAACTTTTTTTCAGGTATCAGTTACTCCTGCAAATCTGGTTCTTCCAGTTATGCCAGATAGGGTACTTTATAGAATAAAAAGGATTTTGTGATACACAGCCTAACGATAACATTTCTTACAGAATTTTTTATAAGCTTTTGAATACAATAGTTACTTGAAACGAAATGATGGGAAGTTGTTAAGTACTTTTAAAGTTCTAAATGTCTTTCCACTTTTCCTGTCTGGGAACAAAAGGAGTTTTACCTTTCAGTATATTTTCTTAGATCCTCAAAGCAAGTAGATAATTGAGAAAGTGGTTTGAAAATTGATAGCAATCTGCTAGAATGCTTTTTTTCCGATACTTAGAATCTTTTGTACCTTCCACGTTATCTTCCCAGTTTTTTCAAATCTAGTCAGTTTGAATAATTTTCTGTTTATTTCAAATTGCAGCTTACTCCATCTGGAAGCGTCTCCTTGATAAAGTCAATGCAGGTTATTAAAAATCCTGTAAAGACATGTGACAAGGTCTATTCCTTGATCCAGAGCTTGACTTCTCAGATCAGGCAAAGAATGGAAGATCCAAAGTCTGCAGGTACTTGAACGTTTTTGTAAACATTTAGTTTCTCCTATGTACATCTGAGGGAGAATTGTGACATAACTTTTCTTCATTAAACTCACTTTCAGCAGAACTTTAATCACCAGTGCGTTAGGGATTTTCACTTTATGATTCTGTGTGCATTGTTTTAAAGAAAAAGCAGTAGGAGCACATGGTCATATTGCATATAAAGAGTCTTTGTGGTCTTCAGGAGTTCAGGCTAGTCCTCAAATATTTGCAGAAGTTCTTAATTATTTGAAACTCAGCTGTCCACAAAAGTAATAGGAAAAGCAGGTGGTAGTAAAGCTAAATTACATAGGTATATTTTTATAGTTAAGATGTTTGCTGAAGAGCTGCTGCTTGCTGTACGATATGTGATAGTATTTCATAAAATGATGCTCCAAATTAAAGATCATGAACCAATGATGCTGTAAAATTAGAGCTGAAAGTGACCACAGTGGCTTTTTGGTACTAGCTAAATACTGGAATACTTACTACCAGTGTTCTCTGCAGTGTATACTGTGCAAACAGCTACTGTTCTGAGGTTGTGCAGTACAAGTGTTGCCTGTGCAGAGTATCAGTGATTTTTGTCTGTTTGGTCTAGTCTCTTGTCCTGGTATGGGGGTAATTCATCCTCCCTGCAAATCTCTTGGCTCCTGCTCATGCAGGAGCGAGAGACAAATGGGATGTGTGGTCTATTCTAAAAGAGATGTTGTCCTGTTCCACTTCCTCCCTCCCACAATTTTCTTGCAGCTTTTTTTAATTGCCTTTTTTTTTTTTTTTTTTTTTTTTTTTTACATATGGTCTGTGTTGTAGGGTGCTTTATTCTTGGTGCTGTAGTTTTGCTTAAAGGGCCAGTGGTGCATTTCTGCAGTGAAGCTTTCTGCTGTGTTGATGTAGCAATGTAGCTGTGATGCTTTCAGCAGTAAAATGAGCCATATGAACATCTGTTCCCTCTTCTAAGAAGTGCTGCAGTTAATTTATTTGAACTTTTTTAGCCCTCTGTATTGAACTGTTACTACCATGTAATTAAAATTTTCCTTTTATCACTTGGATGGTCTTGAATAACTTATGGGAGATGTGTGTCTGTGCAGATATTCAGCTGTACCACAGTGAAACACTAGAACTGATGCTGCGCAGGTGGGCCAAGCTGGAGAAGGACTTCAAGACAAAAAATGGAAGATATGATATCAGCAAAATTCCTGATATTTATGACTGTATAAAATATGACGTGCAACACAATGGGTCCTTAAAATTAGATAATACAATGGAATTATACAGACTTTCCAAGGCTTTAGCTGACATTGTGATCCCTCAGGTAAGCATTTTCAGTTACTTCAAATGAATAGAATAAATTCTAGAGTAAATGCTTTCTCACATCTTGTGAAAACATCTACTGTGTCTTGTCTATCTGTTGAATATTTTTGTATTTTGCAGTAATAGAAGCCTTTAACATTACCTCCTTATTTTCCAGTAACAATCTTACCGTTTTTTGACTTGATTTGTAATTCATTAAGCTGTGTTCAGAGTGAATTTTTCTAGCAAATTAACCTGTGAACATGTCTCCTTTTACTGCAGCATGTTAAACTAGATCATCAGCCATTCTTCATAGATTGAAGGGGGAGGACATAATTTACAGCTGTGTATTCTGAAACAGGATTTAATTTCGTTCTTCCTGCTTTTAGAAATTTCATTTTCAGACTTTTTGCAAATGACATGCAATCTATCCAATTTAATTTGTTTTAAGTAGTTTAAATTTCAAAAGACCTTTCTGATGTTTCAGAATGCTAACACTCTCTGATAAAAATGTACATGTTAAGCTTCATAGAATTTCAGGCCAGGAGCAGTCAAGTTAAGCTTCCATACAGTACAAGCTGTTAAACTCAGGTTAGTCCTAAAATATTGTAAGCTGCAGGATATGAAAACTTTTTGTGGTAACAGGACAGAACGGACTAAAGTTTTACCCAGGTGTCTCTGTGGTTACAGAACACTGTTGTAAGAGAGTTGTTTCCTCACATGCTACATGAAACACGGGTAATGTCTTCCTCTTTCCACCTCTCAAACTCCCTAACAGCAAGAAGGGCAAAAAGAGCTATGAGGATAAGTATGTGTTGTGTTACATGAGCCTGTTAAGCTTAAATTTTGAATACAGTGTTAGAGAAGAGTAGGTAAAAATGAGAACACACACTGAAAGAAGAAAACCAAAGAAAACTTGATAAGCCCTTTTACTTCTCATTATGTAGGCTTATGGTAATTTCTAGGGTAACCAAAGGGCCCATCGTAATGATGGGAGCACTTTCATATCATGTGCAGCACACAGCATTTTTTTTGATTTTTAAATATTGTAGATAGTGGAACAAATACAATATTCCCAGTTGCTTTCAAGTACCACTTTCATTATTATTTGAGGTGAATAGGAAATATTGTGTGGGATGGTTTACTGCAAACTAAGGTAGACACAATAAGTAGGTAATATGCTTATGTCTCATTATTGACTTTTAAAAAAAAAAAAAAATTACTTGTCTATGATTCATTTCATCTCACCTGATTTTGTCTGCATCTTGGGGAGGGAAAGAGGGGGCATGGAAGAATAATTCCCTAGGTCTTGTGCTTTAGAGAAAGAGCTTCATCATATCAGAAGGTGAATCCAGTTTTGTGCTTTATCTAGTGAATGAAAAGCTGTCTCTCAAATCAAACAGCAAAAAGGCAAACAGCTTATTGCTTGGAAGGACATCAGTAATCAAACGTACAAAGATGTCAAACAAAAGTTTGCAGCCACAGCAAACTAATAGATAATGGATTTGCTTCAGTATACAAGGCAATTTGAAGGCATTTTAATCTTTAACTGTATTTTAAAAGTCTGTTTCTTCTTGCACAGGAATATGGTATTTCTAAGGCTGAGAAACTAGAGATTGCCAAAGGTTACTGCACTCCTCTAGTTAGAAAAATCCGTTCTGACCTTCAGAGAACTCAAGATGATGATACTGTAAATAAGCTTCATCCTCTGTAAGTCTTAAATTTTTGCACAGTTACATTAATTTCCATAAGACTTAATGGAGATATTCCATAGGTTTCATATGTGAAATGTCTTACTAGCTCTTAGTAATTTAAAAAGTATGATTCGTTTATTTGTTGGCAGCTATTTCTAATAGGGACACATCTCATTATGGCCTAATAAGATAATTTCTTTTTGCTTTCTTTCTTTCAAGTTACTCCAGGGGCGTGATGTCCCCTGAACGCCACGTTCGTACGCGGCTGTATTTCACCAGTGAGAGTCATGTCCACTCCCTGCTATCCACCCTTCGTTACGGTGCCTTATGTGATGTAAGTTGAACACTTCTTCTGTTCTGCTATTTTGAGAGGAACAGAAAGGACTCAATCTTACTAAAACTGTATCAACCAAAGTATTTTCTGATTACCACATTTTTTCAAACATTTGGTTTCCTACTATATGTGCAGAGATGCATTTCAAATTGCTGGTGTGCACATTAGTGGAAACCAGGATGCCCTTAAATGCTCAGTTCCATTTGTGTATCCAGCAGCATATGTTACGGTCTCAAAGAGACTGGAAAAGGGCAGATAATTTTTTTTTTTTTTTTTTTTGTCCTCCTTGTCACCTCTAATTCTTACAACTCTTTTCCCTTGAGGTTACCATTCAGAGTTCTCTTGAATTAACTTTTGAACTGGCTTATTGTTTTTGACCATTGGCATATTGTGAAGACCCTCCCTACTGGACTTTCAAGAATGCTGATGTTGTGCAAAGTGGTTGTAGAATACCTTGAAAATGGTGCAGTGTTTTCCATCTGATTGGCTTTGAAATGAAGGACTGAAAAAGACAAGGTCTCCAGATTCAGAAATTACCTAACAGAGCTCTTGGAGAGGTCAAAGCCTCTATGGCTGCTTGTAAGATCAGGTTTGATTAGTATGCTAGCTTTTGAAATGGTTGTATAGACATACTTGCTAACTCACTGATGGCAAAACCGTTTTATTCTAGACCTCTGTGACATGCTACAGCAGATACACTCCTAGTTTTAGGCTGGTAAACTTTTAAGTTTCTTTTAAGATGGGTTACTGAATATATTTTTTTTCTGGAGCATGAAAAAAGTTGAATAATAATTTTAAATAGTTTGGGATGTAATGGTTAAATTACCTCTATCTACTAGAAAATGGTAGAGCAATATCTAGAAAAATTTTCTACAACGTAACAGCTGACACGAGTTTATTTCAAAATTATCAATTCTCAACCAGCAAGTTCAAAACAGCTCTGTCTACAAGACATACATCATCATTGGTGAAAGGACTTGAAAGATACAGTGAAATAAAACATCAAAAGATCTGGTCTCCATTTTTCATTCATTTGATGTGTAATTTTAGGTCACTTGTTTTTTCTGGTTGTATGTGTTTTTTCCTTAGCTGCTTATGTCTGCTTCTTAGTTCTGCTGTTTATGTAAAATCCATGTAAAAGGGGAAAAACAGAAATTATCAGTGCTTTTAAAGAAAATAGCTGGGGTTTATTTGTTGATTTTTTTTTTTTTCTCGCCTTCATAAGGAATCAAAAGATGAACAATGGAAACGAGCAATGGATTATTTAAATGTTGTCAATGAACTCAATTACATGACACAGATTGTCATCATGCTTTATGAGGATCCAAACAAGGTATTTTAAATGGATAAATATATATATAGAAATGAGGATTGCTAAGTTATGTGTCGAAGTGTAAAGCTATTTAATAATTTTCCTTCAGGAACTTTCTTCAGAAGAGCGTTTTCATGTGGAGCTGCACTTTAGCCCAGGAGCCAAAGGCTGTGAGGAAGATAAAAATTTACCAGCTGGATATGGATACAGACCTGCCTCCAGAGAGGTAATAATTATGTCTGTCTTTAAAGCAAAACTCAGTTTTTCTGGTTGCAGACATACCTAAAATAAACAATAGGAAATTGTTAGGTAAAAAATACAAATGTGATTCTTATTTTGCCTAGTAAAATGTAGGCAATCCCAAAGTATTACCTCAGCGTCCATTTAAAATGGAGCAACAGACACAGCTAATTTGGAACTTCTCTGACTCTGACAGAATTTTTGCTAGAAATTCCAAGTACTCGTTGTAAGGAAAGTGCTATCAGCATCAGTGCCAATCATCAATGAAATTCTGGCAACTGAAAAAGATATTTAAGAAAGTAAGGTATTTTGGCATGTTTATGAAATATAGATTGTTGAGGAACGGTTGCTAATTTCAAAGATGTATAGGTACATCTGTGGAGTTACCACTTGCTTTTTGAGAAATGAACAAAAGCAAAGCTCAGCTGGAATTCCTCTGTTGACTAGTGGGACCAGGATTTTATTACCATGTCAAGAGAAAATTGGAGTAAGATATGTTGGCTGAACAGCATGGCTAATTAGGACCACAGTAGCATAAGCAGTAGATTATTAAAGTCCAGAGCAATTTGTTCAACACCCACATGATTTACATCTTGTATTTTTAAAGTGGCTTGGTTTATGTTTATGCAGAAGATTTATTTAACAGCCAGTTCTGTCTATATATTGCAAGGTGTTCAGCCAAATTGAAAATGAATTATGTATTGTTTGTAGAATGAAGGCTCGACTAAAACCTCTCACAGAAACGATAGTGATGAGGAGGCACACACTCCTAAAAGAGATGAAACGGATCGGTCAGTAGTGATGTTCAAGCCAATGGTATCAGACCCAATTCACATACACAGAAAGTCACCCCTTCCAAGATCCAGGAAGATTGGTTCTGTTGAAGTAAGTGTTTACGTTCCAGATAATGTCTTTCACAGAAATTAACTTTTCCTTATTTTTAAGAAAACAAAACCAAATGTGATTCTGCTTCTGATTACACAGAACCGGTATCATGTTGGTCTCACAGAAGAGTTGCTCTTATTCTGTGGGAAATAATCCGTGGCAGTAATTTGTCTGCAGGCTTTTTTTTTTTTTCCCCAATGAATTGTTATTTTGTGAGAAGACTTACTTCCTTTTTTCTTTTTAAGCCATTTTAGAAAAGCCAGTATTTGAAAATGAAGAGTTTTTCAGTATAAAACTACATCTTCCAAGTAACGTACATTGCTTTTGGATTCAGCCTTACAAGATGGGGAATTTAAGCACACCTTCAGGGTGATCATGCTGAGGGGGAACAGAGGGATTGGGGGTGGTAGGGAGGTGAGAGACACACGTCTTCTGCTGTGTTTGTTTTCACATGGGGTGAAAGCCACTGCACTTGTCAAGCATTTGCAGGTAAGAGAATAAACTGGAACCTTTTTTCTTTTAAGCGGGTGGGGTTTGTGTTTCATGAATACTTTAGATAACATCTTGAACAATCCAGTCTCCTGTCTTGGAAGGCCATGACATCTAGGGGTGCTCCTACAGATACGGCTTTAATGTCACAGAGGTGGGGGGATGCATGGCAGTATTGCTGATGCAGTTTGTACGGTTGAGTGGCAAAGCTTCAACGGTGCATAGTGGCACTTCTGTGATCTTAATGCTAGAAGCAGACTAACAGCTTTTTATTGCCTCATTTTCAGTTGCTTAAGTCCATTATAAAAGAAGATTCACACATGGAGCTTTTCTTTTCATGTTTTTTTTGGGAATGGGCTGTTTGTATGTAATGAAAGTATTACAGATTTGCAAGTAACTTGGGGTATTGGTAGTCTGGAAAGACAAAGATGCATGGTTCCCTTCTATAAGGGTATCTTTATAACTTCACATGACTTCCATAAATTGAGATATTAAATGTGAATGTCTTACATTTTCCATTCCAAGTTTTATGATAAACAAATCACAAACATCAATTTTTTGGATTTTTAAAACCTGTTTTCACTACGATCATGCAAACTCCCCTCCTAGTTATGAGTTCACATACACACAACTTGATAGTCTGTTACTTCAAATTTTTAACCATTATCATAAATTATGTAGAAGTTACTTTCAAAAGGTATGAACAAGATAAATTGCTAAATTTTGACTGTGGAGATAGCATATGTTCAGATGGAATGTGTTTCAGCATTCACTGCTTGTTTATTTGCTGGAAGAAAATGGCCGATATAAAGAAAACAGACACTATAAAACTTTTTTTGAAAAAGCAAAATCGGAAGATTCTTCTGTCCTACTGAAATCTGCAAAAGCAGTATTTGGAGTATTTAAATAAAATGGTATTTTGAAGAAAGTCATTGCAACTTAAACTGCAACTGCCTTGAACCTCTTTTTTTCTTTTTCTCCCTTCCCCCCTCCCATAAGGCAATTCTTTTTACCTTTGTCCATTAATTTGAAAGGACACTGTCAGGTGTGACATTGTTATATGGAAGGTTTAATATGACTTGTAGTCAGCAATATTTATAGAAGGATTAGAACTGTGATTGAGCCATGAAAATAAAGTAAAAAAGCAGAGTTCTAACAGTGAAACAAGAAGGTAAAGCTCATCGGCATTGTAAATTAAATTTGGTATTGCTAAAAATGTTGATTGATAAGATTTCGATAATGATCTAGGATATGGGGGACTCTTTGCCTGACACTGTCCTCCCTTGAAGCCTTAATAGGTGTCCAGCATCAGATAATTTTTACGGCTTTTTTAAGGTTGAAAAACTACTACCAGTCGGGTTGGTGCTCCTACCAGTGAGTCAGCTGTAAAGTTTCAAAGGCTGTTACAAAAGTGAGAATCTTTGAGATGAGGTTATAGACTAGAAACAAAAACTACTAAGTAATAAATAGGAAAGTTTACTGTACTTTGTGGGGGAAAGCTCTTAGCCAGTATGTCAAGGATAACAGATGTTCTGTTTCCGACATGCAGGAAATTCTTAAAATTCTGAATCAGTAATTGGTAACAATTACTTTTCTCTCATATCTAACAACTGGCCTACCAGAAATTTGGTCAAAATGTAGTATTAAAAGGTATAATTGGATGAAAAGATATAAATAGAACTGTTAACTTCCTAATATTGTAGTATTACTCTTCCTTATCCACTGTGTAATAGTTTTAAAAGGGTGCAAGCAGATTGTTTTTTTTTTTTTTTTCTTTTCTGTTCATTTGGCTCTGTTGAATCTAACTTTGCATGCTTTGCTGTTTTTTGCCCCCTTTCTCACTTCCAGGAAGAGAGCCCCCTGAGTGTGTCTAGCCCAGAGTGTATTGGTACTTGGCTGCATTACACCAGTGGTGTGGGTACTGGGCGTCGAAGACGCAGATCAGGGGAACAAATCACTTCTTCCCCTGTCTCCCCTAAATCATTGGCTTTCACATCCAGTATTTTTGGCTCATGGCAACAGGTTTTTAAACTTTACTTCATTAAACATTATTATGCATTCCAAGCGACAACCAACTGTCTTTAAGGACATCTAATCCCTTATTCTGGATCATTTGAAGCAAATTCTTCCACTTCTTAAAATTACTTCCCGAGAATGTTTGGGGGAAAAAGAGCAAGTGCATGTTTTTCCACTGAATGTGTTACATGTTTTCCTAAAAATTTGATTTCTCTATAGGAATTGCAAATGTTACCACAGTAAAAAAGATGTAGTTTACTGCGTAATGAAACAGATTTCTGCTTTGGTTTAGTTGTCCTTTAAGACTTTAAAAACAGCATTGCTTAATTTGGTGGTAGGTAAATTGAAAAACTTTTTTTTTTTTTTTTAAAATAATTGCAACCAATACCATTTAAGATAATTTATTTGGTACTTCATATTGCTATTCAAAACTTGTTTTGCATATATCATATTTTCAGTGGCCTGGTATTAACTATTGCAGGGTAAAACAATCAAGCACTAATAATTCTCACCTGCTGTATCCGGAGGTATCTGAAACTTCCAACACAGTACATCATCCATTGACTTGTACAATATTTTGACGATTTTTCTAAATTTGGGGGGGGAAAGGCAGGAAGAAAAGAAACAATAGATTTTTTTTTTTTTTTAGTTATCAGTGAAAATCCAAGGACTGTTTAGTATGTCGAGATATTGTTTATTGTTAAATGGATGGTGTTCTGTTAACCATATCCTTTTTCTTTGAAAATTGTCATAATTTCTGTTTGTTGTGGAAAATTCTATAACGATTTACATAGGAAAAGTTTATATCACTAAAGGCTGTAAGCATCTGAAGATTACACTGATTGAGCCCGTGCATGGATCAGTGATTGTATGGTGTCCTCAATAGCTTGTCTGTCTTTCCTTCCCTCCCCTCCTTTTTTCAATACAGGCGCAGTTTAGGAGAGTGCATTTGGTAAAATAAAATAAAATGTCTCAAATGTCTGTTCTCATATCAGTCTTGGTCTGTGTCCTTTCTCATTCTGAATGCTTGCTTTGCACCAATTCATTGCAAGGAACTCATGTGAAATGAACTCCCTTTGGAAGGGGATATTGCATGATCTTTCATGTTTCCTTTACATATTTTTACTAACACTTATCATACAGCTTATTAACACTTGTCTGTCTGAAACAGGCTGCTGCATCAAGTTAAATGGATGTTTCATGCTGCTGTTCTACTTTCCCTTATTTTTCTGTTTTTCATATACAGGTCCTATCAGAAAGCAATACTAACTTACGAACACCGAGAACTATTCTGGAACAAAAGCAGAGTAGTCTAGGTATGTGCCTACAACTGAAATTTTGTTTGGTGTTGGCAGCTTTTCATCTGCCCATTGTTCTGTAGAGCTGTACGTTCTCTGAATAGCTTTTACGTTAACAGGACACAACAGTACTTGCTATTATATATGCTGATATATATGAGTGTCTACCTATGAACTAGGCAGTTCTTCTGCACCAAAATTTTTAAAATAAGTTAGAACTGGAAGGCGCAAATTGTTTGAGACTGTTCACACTACTGACTGTGCTGCTTAAAACAGGTACATGGGATTATTTTTAACAAAGTAGATTTCTAAGATAATGTAGTTCATGACGGAGTTTTTGGGTTTTGCAAGAATCTGTAGATTGAAATGGCCTGCACTGGAAAGTGTTAAAAGGCTTGTCTTGAAAATTAACACTTTCTACTGTGGGCAGTTGGTGGAAACTAAGGTGTTTTATGAAGGGCAGGGGGATGGCGAACAAACCTTAAGTTTCTTGATAATACCAGGGGTTTTGCACACATTCCCTCTCCTAAAATCCATTTCTTCCTCTCAGCATTGGAATAAATAATTCTATAATTCAATGAGTTGTTTCAGATTCTTTTACATCAGGTGGTGCTTTTCTGTTGCTGCTTTGAGACAGGCATACATATGATTCATATGCAAAAATATGAAATCTTGCACTACTGTAAATAGATACTGCATTTTTTTGAAAGTGTGTCTTTTCATAGGAAAAATGAAGTGTAGAGATATGTAAGCAATATGCATAAACTTAGAAGTAACTTTTCCATTCTTTGTAAAGATCTGTATTTTTTGTGTCTAATCTTTCTGTGGTACTTTTCTCCGTATTATATTTTCCTGTAATAAAATCATATCAGGTGCTCTTATTCATCAGTCATTTTTTAATTGTGTGCTTGCTAAAGTTAAACAACTTTTCTTTCACCAATGTTTGAGACAATATGGCTTGTGGAAGTTGATGTATTTCTGTGCATAGATTCAGTTGTTATTAAATTTGGTGTGAAAGGCTTTTGCCACAGACCAGGCACCAATTTATTTTGCCTGTGATTGGTCACATGTGCTAGTAATGTTTTCCTTCAGTGGATAAGTAAAAGTAATTAAAGGAGGTACCACTGGGCTGATAGGTGGTTCACCAAAAAAATCTGCTGCTATTTATCTAAAATGTAAAACATAAGTTCTAAATGAAGAAACACTTCTTTGAACTAGTAGTGAAAACTGAAGGAAAAAAATAATTGCAACTTTTTTTTCCATTTTGTTCATTGTTGTATGTAAATTTCATTTATGGCTGATGATTACACAAGTTATTTTTATATTTCTGTCTGTGGCTTTCAGTGACTTGTTAAAACTCCCATCTTAGTGGCTGGAATGTATTAGTTGTAAAAAAAAGTGCTTTCACTTACGTAGAGGTGTACCGAAGTCTTCTCTGGAAAGGAAATGAAGCTAAACTTGATGGAACTTTTAGTTGTTTTCAGTTTATAATGTCAGTGATGGCAACTGAAATACAAGCGGAGTATTTTCAATTTGGTAAGCATTCTGTTGGGATTAGAAAGGAAATAGTTCCATGTTAAGTCTGTGGAAATGTGTGAATACTTCATTGCAGCCTGTCACCTCAAAGGTTGATTTGGATGAGAGCAATGAACAGTATTTTTCCAGTTTATATTTGTTTCAGAACACCAGATTTTAAAACGCACAAGTTTCGCATCATCACCGTCATCATCTTGGCTTTGTTTTGTTGTTTTGGTTATGTTTACATTGATTCTAACTGGTAACTTTTCTTTACCAAAAGTGAAAGGCAGTCCTCTCTTTGCACATATAGCAGAGGGTGCTATGTCATGACTAGAAGCACAATAAATTATGATAGTTTGAGCCTACAAGTACCACTGACATTACAAGCATATTGTGAACCTGTCCAAGGCACTGCCAAAAGCTGCCTTTTGTGTGGTAAGAGCCATGTGCTTGCATGCTGCATGCATCCCCAATGTGAATGGACGAACACCTGGTTGTTGTATGTATTTTCTCTAACTCCCATCAGGGTCTCACTGTGCGGGCCTGTTTAGCACCTCGGTACTCGGGGGTTCTTCAAGTGCACCTAACCTACAGGATTATGCTCGTACTCATCGTAAAAAGCTGACTTCTTCTGGCTTCATAGATGGTATGTGCACACTCTCGCACATGCACGCACAAACCCATGTGCCACATTAAACTTCTGAAGATAAATCCTAGGTTACTGATTTTAATGGAATCCTAGAATCCTTTGCCTTAGTATTAATTGTACGAGTTTCTATTGCTTCTTTATCGCCCATAACTTGCTTATGTTTTACTTAATAACCTATAGTTAATTTTTATTTCTATCTTAAACATTAGCTCACAGACTTGTAATGCGTGCCAGGAGATTTCGGCAAGTGCTTTTTTTAAGTAAACTAAAATTTTGGTCTTGAAATTCTTTTCTCATTTTAAACTTTGTGGCTTATCACTACGTATTGATCTTGAAATTAAATAAAGTATTTGGAGCATATACAAGGAATGAAAGAAATTATAAACTGATTAGTTAAATACTGACGGTGAAAATTTTAGGATTCCTGACTTTTTTTTTTTTCTCTGTTTTGGATAATCTGGAGTAGAGAAGAAATTCTCTCACTAGATTTCAGAATGTAAAGATGCCAAATCACACCTTTATAAAGTTGAGGTGAAACAGTATTCGTGCTGGTTTTCCCCCCAGTTCACTACTCAGTGTTTTGACTCTAACCTGATATAACCTTGTATGCCAGAATCACCAGTTCATTCTGCTTGTTTTCATACACTTCATTACACATCTTGTAGTTACCAACAATCCAAATTTTCTTCTTTTTAACCTCTATTTAGATTTTAGCCCTTTCCCTTGGCCCCTTCTGCATGCCGCTCAGTTCTAATACTTTCTCATCTTTCCTGTTTCTTTCTTCTTCCTTTCCTTTTTTAAAATGTCCCTCTTTTGGTAGCTGTTACAAATTTCAGGTACCTGTTTTTCTCTTTCTCAGACACCACACGCGGTTCTGCTGTTAAAAGGTTTTCTATCTCATTTGCTCGACACCCAACCAATGGTACGTTTTGCTTTTATTTTAAAAAAAAAAAAAAAAAAAAGAAAACAAAAGGTTCCTTGCTTCATCCCTTTTATTTTTATTTCAAATATGGGGGTGTACAGTATCATCCAGCTGTCTGTCGTTCCTGACTTCAAGCACAATTCCAAAAATATTTGTAATGGTTAGATATCCTGAATCCCTTCCTTACTGTTCATCAATATAAATACATCAAAATTCATTGCTTAGAAAAATCCTTGAAAGAATTGTGTTACTATTAATCATGATCTCTGTAACAAATTATTCCTCCCAGTTTCTTGTGTGATCAGTGTGTGTGGTACAAGACAGAACCAGAATTAAATCTGATCTTTATTGAGCACACACTTCTTGATAGCTGCTGCTTCTTCTTTGTCTTTCTCCTGCTGAGCTGAGCCTCCTGGTCCTAAAATAAATCACTGAATTGACAACTGGAGTTTACGACTTCTTCTTGAAGTAATGCTACATTAAAAAACTAAAGCTGAAGCTTTGGTTCCCTTCCTGCTAAATTGCTATACTTTTCATCAGACAAAAATTTATTTTATCTTATCGTACTTCTTTGTTCATCAGATGTGCAAATTACTTAAATATTGCACTAAAAATCACAGCAAGGGAGCTGCCCATTGCTTACATTGACCTCTTGAGCTTCAAGAGAGTTAACTTGTCTTCAGTCTACCATAGTTTGAAAAAAAAAAAAAAAAAGTGGGTTAACTCACAGGACAGAGTTACGTGTCTATCTTCCTCAGAAAAAATATTTTGTGCCTACCTTTCTACATGATTAAACAGGCCCAAAATGTATCTTGATCATGAAAACCAGACTTGGTCTTCAGCATCCACCAGATTTTAGTATAGCTTTTCCAGATTTCTTAATAACAGTTTCAAAATGTACATGTACATGATTGCTGGCTGAGTGCAGTGATGGTGATATTATAGAAACGGCAGGGGAAATCATCAGCATATTCATGTTAGATTCAAAATATATTAGCTTAGAAACAAGGTTAAGAAAAAAGATTGAGTTTTTGTTTGGCTTTGCTAGAAGCAAAGTAGTCCTTCATTGTATTCATTTGGAATCCATGGTGACTTTTTGGCACTGCAGTGCTTCTTGTAGGGAAGCTGCTATGGTACAAGCTAAATTAATACCATTAAGACTGTTTGATCTAGAAGGCCATTTCTAGTGTCCTAATTCAAATTAGGACAGTTAGGTGTCCAGTTTTTTTTCTTTAGACTCAAATCGGGTAATATTTCCAAAACATAGATCAGAAAGTAAGAACTGCATTTGAGTATTAGTGTCTATTAATAGAATTACTTTCAGTTCCATTTAGCACCTTTTGTGACTGTATTCTTTAAAAAAAAGGATCTAAATTGATTTTAATGAATGTGTTGATTATTCCGATTCATTTAATACAGAACTTTCACCACACATCTTTTTAATGCATGTTGTGTGAGCTCATACGAAACCTAAGAGTATTGCAGGTTTCCAAGGGTTCTCAACTAACATAAGAGCATACTGGTGTTGTTTCGTCTGTCCTCTGGACTATCATTTTGATTCTCCTTGTCCCTTTCACTCTGTTTTTTTCTTACTTTTATGTTGTTATCACGCCCTCTTAACTCATTTCAGACTACCCCTCCATCTTTAGTTCAAGGAACATGGTGAAACAAGTATCTTCTGACAGTGCTTTACCTTATTTTCTGGGCCTCTGTGCAGAACACCCACACCTCTTTAGGTGCTGGTCCATTTCCTCTGTGGAATTTCTAGGCTCCAGTGGTATGTCTCTATAGCTTTTAAATGTAAGACATCAGGGTGGCTTTTTGAGATGCTGCGTTAACCCTTTCATTGTCTTGTCTTTTGATGGGGGACAGTGCTTTAAGAATAAATACAGCCAAAGCTCAAGGGCTGTTAGTTTACAGGAAATTGCTTTTTTGAAGGGATACTGTCAGGCTTCTTCTTTACTAAAATTGAAGCTATTTTTCATAATAACTTAAAATATTCAAATAAAACCCTGCAGATAGATTACCAGGGTATCTTTTAAGTTATATCCCTTATATGCCAAGATACTACAACAATCTGCTAGGATATGGCTGATAGCAGAATTGTCAAAACTGAACAAAAAGCTATGGAAGGGAAATTCTTGAAGAAAACTTGTTTTCTTTTTTTAAAGGGTATGGGTATATTTAGACATTCCTTTCCAGTTTTCTGTAATACTGCACTACACAGTAACAGTTATTATAAAGTTAACCTGACATTGTCCCACTACGGTCTTTGCTAAATTAAAAAAGAAAACAAAATTCTCATTCAAGTGATTGTGACTTTTCTGTCAGGATAAAAAGATAAATCTTAATATTTTACTGTAATGCAAAGAAAGGGTTTTCGCTTTGCATGCACGCATAGTTATTTAGGACATTAATATGTATGCCAAACATCTCAGTGCTTACACAAAAGCTTAGCTACTGCTTTTATAGGAAAATAGAAACTAAGTATGTGGTGGTGTTTCTTTTGTACATGAAAACCAAGGATCCGTGAAATACAACATTATATTTTTAATATATTGAAGCTGACATAAGTACACGCCAGTTGTTTGTATATTTGAAGCGACTGTCCCTTAAATTGGAGTATGGCCAAGGTGGACCCAAATATAAATAAAGACATTCAGGGGTTGAAAGCTTGTTGAGAAACTTCTCTGTGCAAAGCACTAAATGGGGGAGTGAATGTGGAACATTGGATGTCATAGGAATATTGATGCTTATTATTTTAGGGGAGGGAACAGTTCAGTCATAATGCTGCCTCTAATAAATGTACCTTGAACTGAAATTATAAGCATTATTTCATTCACTATTGTTTCTTCATTTAAATATCTAAAAAGAAATGTAGCAACTGTAAATTTACAATATTGAATTACAAAGTTGTAATGTTACAGCTCTAAGTTGAAAACACTGATGGACATATTTTCCTCTTCTGAAATGCAGTTGGATGAAGAGCCATTCATTGAGTCATCAAACTTGCATCACTTTAAAGAACTGCATTTTTTTTCCCAAGATGTTTAAATGCTTTTCACTGTGTTAGTCATATAGATATGCATAGTTGGTGTATGATCAATAGGAATGTAGAAAAGCAAAGTCCAATAAATTTTTTTAATTTTTGGTTGCTGTACTTAACCTGCTCTATTATATGAATCTTCTAGACTTTTAAGTACTGTTTTTAAATGCAGAAAGGTAGGTGTAAATATGTCTTACAGAGTTGAAACATTTAACCTCAAGGTACAAAGGTGCTAACAGTGGTTTTCCTTTGATATTGAAGGCAACAGTTTTTTTCACAGAATACTGAAGATGATAAAACACGAATTCTGCAGATTTATTTATTGGAACTTGTAGTATTTTTAGCTTCTGTTTGCTGTTGACAAAACAGATATCCTATATTATTTTCATGAACAAATTATCTGTTTAATGTTGTGCCAGGTATAAGACTGAGTAGGAGGCATACTACTGCTTCATGACTTTTTTTTAGTGTTTTACGAAGTTTATCTGAGAGGAAAGTTACCTTTCATGAACTGATTTCTGAGCAGAGCACAGCTGTAATGCACACTTTATGTGTACATGGGATTTGTGTCCCATGGTGTTACATGGTACCTTTAGTTTAGTACACACTGAAAATTGCAACTTGTTCCAATGCTATAATATTTAGTGTCTATGATTTTAAGAGTGCTATTTTTGCATGTGCTGATTTAAAATAAGTAATTTTTATAATGCATTAATACTTGCCCGTGCAATAGCTTAAATCCTGTCTTATGTTTGGAAATCTGTTTTTCATCATTTTTCTTTCAGGTTTTGAACTATATTCCATGGTGCCTTCTATTTGTCCTTTGGAAACTCTACACAACTCCTTGTCTCTGAAGCAGGTGGATGAATTTCTTGCCTCTGTTGCTGCCCCACCAAGGGAAAATCTACAGGAGACATGTACTGATTTAAGTTTGTAAATACATTCATTTCAAATTGTTAAATAATGTGTAGTTAATCCTTCCAGTATTTTAAGGCTAACAAGTAAACTAAGAATACTGCTTTTAAAAAAGAAAAATGTGCATTAACCATAATTTCAATTTCTGCAGTACCCTCTTGTGATATGGATACCATCATCATTCAGTGAACTAATGTCTGTTTTGTCTGGGGTAGTAAATTAAGGATTTAATTAAATTGTAATTGGTTTATTTCCTCACATTAAGAACTTCTCTGTACTGTCCATAGTGTTAACTGAATTATAATGCATGTTTTTTAGTAAACGTGCACCTATTTCCAGCTTTATACTGTAATGTTGTACTGGCAGTAGCTTCAGCAGAGTAGTGTTGCCTTTTTACATCTTAAAACTGTTATTTCACATTCCTTGCAATATTACATGGGGTTTCACCTGTCAGGTGCCTTGCAGTTACTTAGCTTGCTTGTTGTTTCTGCTGCCTATTTGTTTAAGTGATCTTGAAATGAAATGCAAACTGAATTCTATCTGTGTGCATGTCTGTGGGGGAAGATGACTTCCCATTGTGATTCTACTGCTGTGTCTTTGGAAACAGTTGCAGTTGAGTCAGATTTACTGTATGGATATAATATATGTGTCAGGTGATAGAAAATAATTTCTATTGAGGAAGTGTCTAAAGACACATGCTTTCATCAGAAAATTTGTACTTGCTAGGACTGACACAAAGGTTACCAAATTGTTAGGATTTTTCCTTTTTTTTGTGTGATGAGATTTTTTTTTTTCTGTTGTATTAGTTTGACACAGTTTAGATTTTATCAGCAGCTACATTGGTAGGGTAGGCTTCCTATATCTGAGAAGTAAGATGAGCAATTTAAGAAAACTGATATTGCAGAAAAATAACTCAGAGAGGCTTACAGGTATTCTACAATTCTCAGCTATTTAAAATGCTTTGTTACACCAGTTACAAAGTTTGCATCTCTTCAGAAACAGTTCAGAATTTAGAGGACACAAGACAAAAAATATTTTTTTACAAACTGTCATACTTCTGTGGTGGTCTGGTTGTCTCCTGTCTACAAAGGACCTGGTAGAATTGAGAGCATAGGTGCTTTATTTTCTTTTTGTTTTCCTTTAGCATTTGGAAGTTGTCTAGAGAACAGTGTATTGTCTGCACTTTTCATACGTGTTTTTGATTAAATGCCTATTCTAGTGCAATCTTCATAGCCTATGAGAAGTAGCACTAATGGTTTTGCCAGTCTTCTGGGGAGGTAGCTGTTACGGAAATTCAGCTAAGCTGCCTTAGCAGCATGAAGTTATTGTGTTGCTTTCTGGGGGAAAAGGGAGATTTTTAGATTTGTCTTTCATGCTTTGAAGTTTTGGCACGACAGTCAAAAATCAGTAGCTGAGCTGCTGGTTATATAACTGCAGCATCTCTGTTGCTGGACTGGTGCACAGTTCTGTGCCTACTGTTTTTGACTTTTTGCTCAGGTAAGAGTATTTTTATTAATGATGTGTATCTTTTCTTTTCCACACACCACCCCACTCCTGACCCCCTCCCATTTCAGCTTCTCCAACTTACACGATTCCACTGTCAGGAAGAAAAATTTCTTTAAATACATATACCCCAGCAAAAATCCAACCAACACCACTTGAAACTTTTCCTGAAAGGCTAGCAATAGAGAAACCAACTTTATGTAAGTAACTTCTGTCAGAGGCAGAATGGCTAACTTGATTAAATTATTTCCAGCAGTAGGATTATTTATTATATAATTTCTGTGGGCAGCTATTTTTTAACATACCTGTCTATATAAGTGAAGTGCTGGTGTCTAAACCCCCAGCCCTGAATCAGGGCCGACATACGGATGATGTCCACAACCAGGCAGGAAAGACCTTCCTGATTAGTTGTTACCCAGGGCCTGGCCAGCCGTGTGTGGGAACCAGCTAGGAGATCCCCAGCAGGTGCCCTGCCTTCAGCATTAACATTGGGTGTCCTGACCCTGATGTTAACAGCATAAAGGCTGGCTCTGCCTGCAGTGGAGGGGGGTGTTTGCCTAGGTAGTGAACGTGCTGTGTAGGATTTCCAGTTACAGGAAGGGCCGCCCGGCTGTCCATTGTCGCAGAGCTCCCAGTGGCAGTGGGACACCAACACAGCTGGGAGCAGAGGGAGGATTACATCTCTATTAGTGGCACCATTTTCTGGCAATGGTTATGCAGTTGGAATTGGACTGGTCACCTGGTTTCTATGTCAGTTCGCTCCTGTCTTTACTTCATCTGACACTGTGAGTGACTGTATTAATCACTTGGTTCCTCTGGTGGTTAGCCACCACATATCCTCCACATCTAATTTAGAATTGGAAGGAAAGCTGTGGCCCATGTGCTGCTTAATGATGGTAATATCCTTCCTATTGGGGTATGCAGTCAGCAGAAGAGTAAGTGGGATATTTTTTTGCACAAATAGTTTTAGCAGCAAGATTGTGTTAATAGTTACTTTGTGCTATCCTCTGAAGTGTTTGAAAGAATTTCTGTGGCTTGCAGATTTGTGGGGTTTGGGTGGTTTTTTTTTTGTTTTGTTGTGAGTTATGACAGTATTTCCAGGCATCTCCAAGTATGACGACCAAAGGTAATTTCTTTATTTAAATGGCAACATTTGTAGGATGTTTTCTGAACACTTAACCATAGAGCTATGTGACCAGGTTCTGACTAAAGCTTTCAATAACATGATGAGGCATTCAATCCTGAGTGTATTCAGTCTGAACTGTTGGCCGGCTACACCATCTGTTCTTGGATGGCTGTGTCATTCAGAGAGCCTCTAGAACAAAATCCCATTGCATTTCTGGTTTCATTAGATACAGTCTAGCTTTGTGTGTGTTTCTGTGGTAGTCAACTTGTATTTTTCTTGCTTTTGATGTTCTTCAGTATGGATACTCTTTTAAGCATAAAACCTAATACCTTTTTTTTATTTACCTGTACAGCTACAGCTAACCCTGGATCTGCTGCTTCTTCATCTAATGTTAAGCTCTCTCTCCAAGAGACCTCACTAAATGTAGAACTTAGTGGTGAGACTCTTTCTGAGAAGAAATGAAGTTGGTCAAAGAAAACTGGAAGCAACTTCTTGAACACTTCTTTAGTGTGTGTTCAACTAAATTACTGAGCTTTCGAAAACCATTAATGTCTGCAGTTCATAGTGCACTTAATGTTTAGTTTATACATGTTTAAGTGGTGTGCACGCTACGTATTTAGGTCAAATGTCTTATCTCTAAAACATGTTGGGAGTATATTTCTTTATCAGTTTGAACTGCACACCTTTAATGGAAAGACTGCACATGAACCTTTTCAGTGTCTTCAAATATTTACTGTAAACTTGTACAAAATGAACATGCCAGTGCAGTGATATGTCTTATAGCGGCTCTGTTGATGTCCTTGTAAGGAAGGCATTGTCTGATGTCATTATGAACTTTTATTTTCAGGGGGTTACAATGTTGTTTGAATTTCTTTTGTGGGCTGAAAGGTAACGCATCTTGGCTAGAAGGTTGGTTGTTTTTTTTTTCAATTTAACAACATTTCCAAAGAGATCTCTTTTGCCTGCTTTTGAAGATAAGCAGATATCTTCTGCATTTGAATGACTTTGTATCGTATATGCTGCAATTATTAGACATGGTGGAGTAAGTTAATCTATTGTCACTCTTGACTCTCTTTATTTTTATTATGTGTTTACATCAGACCTGCAACATTCAAATACACCTTCTCTTTTGTTGTTTAGTATACGTGCTTGTATACGGGTACCTGTATATCACCCAGGGGATAAAACTGTCCTTTATATGTTTTATCAAAGCCTTCTTTTGTTTACTAAAAAGACGGTTTTATTTGCTTTGCCATATTATTTCTACAAAAAGTTGAAATTAAAAAGCAGGGTTTGTAAAAAGAGAAATGGTTACAGCTGGTCTGCTAGTAAGTTTATCCTAAAATTTGTAAATATTCCATCTATGCTTTATTATCATCTCTTCAGGGTAGAGACTGGTCTACCAGAACTCAGTGCTTACTGTTGCAGAATACTCAGGATTCACCATGGCCTGGGGATTTTCATACCTCTCTCCTTCTAATCTAGGTAGTTGACAACACCTCTAATTTAAAAAAAAAAAAAAAAAAAAAAATAAAAATTTTACAAGAGCTGTGACAAGCATTAATGAGTCAGTGGAACTTGGAATTATTGGGTTATGTAGAATAATGACCCAGTCTTAGCAGTTACGTGATTTCTTCTGTGGCATGAAAAATCATTGAATGATTATAATTATCCCAAATAACATTTTTAAGTAGGGCTCTTACTTGACTCCAGAGCTGGTGCATCTATAATTGCATTGACTTTGCCATGGGGTCTGTTTTCAGTGTTTACTACACATGAAATGGCTTCAGTAGACTAATTCTAAAAATGCTGGTTAAATACTGAATATATGAAGGGTTTCACAGTTTTTTTCATACTTAAAACATTTCATTTTCTGTAGTGTAATTGTGTAATTCACAGTGTTGGTCTCATACACAACTGAATGTACATATGTTTACTGTTTTTAAAAAAAAAAAAGTTAAAATTTAAGTATGCATATCATTCCAGTCAACCAAAGCTGTGGCATAACATTTTTCTATGTGCTTCTAAATAAAACTAAGTTCACTTGCAACTTCTGTGTTTTGGTTTTTTTTAAGAGTATATGTGAGTTACAGTGAGTAGTTAACAGTCCTGATGGAAAACAATTTACAAATAAGCCATTAATATAGAAATAAGCCAAAACTACTTTTGGCAGTAAAGGACATAACTTAGAAGAAATGAGGTTTTATTGTTTCTACTGAAATCATTCCTCTTAAATGTAAACAGTACTCAAACATTCTGAAGTTTTCTCATGTTCCATGATGGTAACATTAAACACAGAACCACTCTGAGTGTGCTTCAGTTTCCTATTACTGCTCTGGCAGTAAGGCAGAATATGGACTGTACTGAGCTATTGTGAACCTGTTTTTAGTTGAACTTCTTTGTCCAGTGGGATTCTCTTTCACATTTGTTCTTTTTGAACTGTACATTCTATCCCAAACAAATTTGACAAAGGTCAAAGAGTAAGTTCACAGAAAATCAATGGTTGAAGATAACTGCTGCAATACTACCACCCTGAAATGTAGTTTAAGTAAAACATTTTGCATTTCTTTAAAAAAATGAAGCATCATTAGCAAAAAGACAACATCATAAAAATGCTTGTTGTAAGAACTCCTAATAGTATTTTTCATCTTGCTTTATCAGTTTTGTTTTATTGCTACAATAGACATAGATTTCAGTTCTCTATATAATTATTCTAGCAAGTGAAATTTAAGAGAAAGCAGATATGCTTTCAGAGTTCATTTTTTTAGGAATACTGTATAAACCAGCCTACAGAGGTATGTATAGGAAATACAGTGATCATACACTGATCAACACCATCCAAACCAGCAGAGTTCAAAGGATGATGGCAGAAGAGATGAGCGACTTTTAATAGTAATTTCAGTGTAACAGACTATTCAGGTGGCAGAACACAGGGATTTAACACTGTTTTCTGTCTTCTAACACAGATGGAAGCATAACACTCCTTTATTTTTCCTGTATTTTTTCTTTATCAGTTTAAAGCAATTACTATTGGATACATACGTAAGTTGCAAAAATAAAATTAAAAAAGGGCAAAATTTTTTCTAAAGAAAAGTAAATTCTGGAAGAACTGGTGGAAGAAAAGAAAGTATTTTCTAGTAGTTTGTTTCTTATGTTCTTTTTAAACAACGGGTTTTATTTTGCTTGGGTTTGTGACAAATTTTATTCAGTGTTTTCAAATACCAATTTCTTGTCTCCTTCACCTTAAAAACAACCATCTTCTCCTCCAAAAACCAAAAAGCAGTATAGTAACTAAGCAGCATAATAACTCCTAAGACTCTAGACCACATACTGTATTATCTCTATCAGCTTTCTAACTATTAATTTTTAAATAGGAGAGTCCTGTGGTCCTGTAGCAAAGACTCAGTATTCCAGCTCTGAAGTACCCTGCAAAATAGCTTGCTGGAGGTGTGGTTCAGTCTTCAAGGGATGTACAGTTCAGTCTCTGATCCCTTCCTTCTTTCATTTAACAAGCTGAAGTATGATACAATATGAGAGCCCTACAAATCATCTGTACTCTGGAAGCAAGTTCTACTTGCAGTTCGCATGACAGAAAAAGCCAAGGTCCAAGTTTGTGTCAATGTCATCAAGTGTGGGCCTTTGACAAGGAGGATGCACTAAATAAAAAGAACATACACATCATAAAAGAGACAGAAGCTAGTGTAGAAGAGACGTTACAAGAAGCTCAAACCAGTTCCAACAGATTAAAAAAAAAAAAAAGGTTGAAAAATATGTCACCATGCCACATAATGTATGAACACAGTATGCAGAAATAGATTCCTAGTCCAGACTTCTAAGAATTATGAATTTTCATGGGATCTGCTGCTATGGGAAGAAGTAGCTTGCTGAAATAACATGGAACATAACTATAAATATTTTTTTGTCTCCCCCCAAGCTATTCTGAGATCAATGTATATTTTTTTCTATCATAAAATTGCTGGAAAAGAGGAACTTTTATGTGGAAATTACAATGTCTAGTGGTGTATTTGCTTTCAAAAAGAGCCTTGTTTGATGATAATTGTTCTGATCAAAGCAATTAAGTGGTTGACATAATTTTGTGGTTCTAGTAAGAAATTCTTCAGTTTTAATCAAGTGATAAATGAGAAATTCAGGAAAGGAAATTCTCATATTTTACATGCATATCTCAATATTAGCCTGAAAGGAAGGTATACTAAGCTATTTTTGTCTAGATGCATCTTCTGTCCAACATGGTTTTGAGAAATCCACTTTTTGTGCATCATTCTTCATCTATATAATCTGATGTCCAAGTAGAAGGGAAATTGCATCAAAGACATTTTCAGATGCACCACATTTACAGATCTTCATTCTGCTCAGTATAAGGGACAAAAGTCAACAACAGAGGGAAACAAGGGAATCAGTGATATGTGTTTTATACCAGATCAAGAATTCTGCCAACTGCAGTATCTTTGCTTGTAATACAGCAATTTGGCCTGGGTGCACATCTCATTGAATCTCCTGTTCTAAAAAAAATTAAGCCCTTTTTCTGTGTGTTTTACCTTTGATATTATGTTTTTTTTTTTTCCATTGGGTTATATTGTCATTCTAATTGCCTGTCATCGATGGAGGAACCCACTGATGAGCACAGCCATCATTAGATACAGGTACTTCATATTCTCCTCAGGGTGATGATGTAGAGAAAACAGTCTGTAGTGGTCTGTGTTGTTCTCTGTGTTAAAGCAGCACCAAAGTGTTAACTGGATCTTAAATGAGGAAAATAAAGCCCAAGCATTACAAGGTATCTTTATTCTTCCTGTAAAATCTTGGATAACTTTAAGAACCCCGGGAAAAAAAAAAAAAAAAAAGAAAGAAATTGAAAATTACAGGGTTTTAGGAAGAGCTCGGTTTATTTTCAAGTATTTGGTGTGGAGTTTGGATACTGTCTTTGGGAGTTTTCAGAGTCTGCTTTTCTTTTGGTACCTAGAAATTTAAAAGATGATTTTGCACTATGTTAATTCTGTCAATGTGATGTCATTAAATATTACAAGTTAAAATATCTGATTTGTGGGAGGAAAACCACTACTCCATAAAGAATGTTTTATTTTAAACTGTTACTTAATTGTAACAGTATGATCACTCCCAAGTATCTATTATCTTCTGAAGTTATTCACCACTGCTGCATGTCTCTTTGCCCCCTCAACCCTGGAAGTCCATCTTAGAGGCTAATTGACAACTTGGCTGACAGCAAGGGAGGGCAAGTTGTGGGTGAAAGTTTGTTGAGGGAAAGTTGTGATATACTGACTCACAGGACTGTATAGTCTCATTTTTAACCACAGGAAAACACAGGAAGATGAGATTTCTGACTCGGGCTAAAACTAGTATTGCACATGTCAGCATGAACCAAAGGAGTTGTGTGCTGTAAGCAACACAGAGAATCACATAATGACTCTGGATTACACTACAGA